TCATGCCATACTGATCTTATTTCATTTTTTTTGACAGTTACAAGCTTGGTAGATGCAGGGAATGCTGTAGATGTAGCATATCTTGATTTCACCATCCTGGAAAGAAGTGACAAGTGGAGTGCCGCAAAGTTCGGCCCTGGGCCAAGTTCTGCTCAACATCTTTATTAATGACCTGGATGAAGGTTTAGAGGGCATGATTATCAAGTTTGCAAATGACACAAAATTGGGAGGAATAGCTAATACTCCAGAGGACAGGATCAGAATTCAAAACCAATTTAACAGATTAGAGAGCTGGGCTTAAACCAACAAGGAAAAAGGTAGGATACTACACTTAGGAAGAATAAATTGAAATGCACAAATACAGGATCGGTGAGACCTGGCTCAGTAAGTGTACGTGTGAAAAAGATCTTGGATTCTTTGTAGACTGCCAGTTGAATATGACCCAGCAGTGTGATGTAGCAGCTAAAAAGCCAATAGGATTTTGGATTGGATCAAAAGAAGTAGTGTCTAGATCAAGGGAAGTAATGATACTCCTCTATTCTGCTTTGGCAAGACCTCACCTGGAATACTGTGTACAATTCTGAGCACCACAATTTAAGGGAGATATTGACAAGCTAGAATGTGTCCAGAGGGGGGTGACTAAAATGATCACTCTGGAGACCATGCCTATGAGGAGTGTCTTAAAGAGCTGGGTATGTTTAGCCTGCAGAAGAGGAGATTAAGAGGATACACGATCGCCATGTATAAATATGTGAAAGGATGTCACAAGGAAGAGGGAGCAATTTTGTTTTGTGCTGCCCTGGAAACTAGGATTTGGAGCAATGGGTTCAAATTACAGGAAAGGAGATTCCACCTGAACATTAGGAAGAACTTGATGACTAAGAGCTGTTAAACAGTGGAACTTGCTGCCTCTGAGTGTGATAGACACTCCTTCTTTAGAGGTTTATAAACAGAGGCTAGATGGCCATCTGTCGGGGCACTTTGATTGTGCTTTTCCTGCATGGCAGGGGGTTGGACTGGATGGCCCATGTGGTCTTTGCCAACTCTGTAATTCTATTATTTTAGTGTGGGGTCTTGCTAACTTTTGACGTTTAGTATATTTGTTATAAATGATTTTAATAACTTTCTGTTAATATTTTAACTATATTTCATTTCTGTATTTGGTAAATGGTACTCTAATAGTAACTTTAATAATAAATTGGTAGGAAATCAATATAACATTGGTCAGAATCCTGTTGAAAAGTTATAAACATGCAATATAGAGTTATGCACGTGTCTCAGTTTTGCATTCACAATCTCTCTGTAGCCCTTACTTTAGGAGCATGTAGAGGCTCATCTGAGATGTGGTGCGGCAGAATTCCAATGATGTCATGGACTTCTTAAAAAAAATAAAGGATCCTGGAGTATATCAAGCCTGAAATCTTCCTAGAAGGAAAGATGCCTAAACCGAAGCTGTAATACTTCAGCCTTATTTTGATAAGACATGACTCTCTAGAAAATACAATGTTTTGTAAGATAGGAGTACTACAAAAAGAGGAAGACCATATTCCAGATGGATAGTCACAATCAGGAAAACTGCAGCTCTGAGTCTGCAAGACCTGAGCAGGTCTGTTGATTAAAGAATGACCTGAAGGTCTCTGATTCCCAGGGTAGCCATAAGCTGAAGTTGACTTCAAGACAGATAAAAACAAAGGACCATGAAAATCCCCAGCCCCCACTAACCGGCAGCAGCTACTGTCATCAGTAAGGCTGTTCCCGTCAATTAGAAAATTTGTTTATTTATACATTTACGACATTTCTATCCTGCCTTTCTCAACCACGGAGTAGAGTCAAGGCGGCTTTACACATATGCAACTATCTTAAAAACAATGTACAATTTATTTATTTATTTATTTATTTGCTTTATTTCTATACCGCATTTTTCAGCCTCAAAAGGCGACTCAATGCGGTTTACAGGTACAAATTATCATAACAATGTCAGTGCAATTAAAAATACAACAAATATAACAACAGGATCAACGACACCGATCCACAACAATTAACAAACAACATGAAACAAACATAGCGCCTCAATGAAATCAGATCCGATCTCGTAATCCTTATGTCATTCCTATGTTCCATTTACCGTCTTCCTATGTTCGGTTGCACTGTTAACCAACGCTTGTTCATAAAGCCAAGTCTTGACCTTTCTCCGAAACGCCAGCAATGATGGTGCCTGTCTGATGTCTACTGGTAAGGCATTCCACAGCCAATTGAAATAAACATTTTAAAATAGAATTATAAAATGCTTTAAAACATATAAAAACTTTTAAAACAATAACTTCACCATTAACCACAGTATCCACAATCTTAATTCAGGCAGCTCCAATAGCTGTTGCACATAATTCTGTATCCATCTATTGCAGAGGTTCTCCAAAGGCTTGATCACAAAGCCACATTTTCACTCTTTTATGAAAGGTTAGGAGGGAAGGGGCTGACTGAATATCCCTAGGGAGTGAATTCCACTGCAGAGGGGCCACCACTGAGAAGCCCCCGTTTCTTGTCCTCACCAGTCACGCCTGAGGAGGCAGGATTGAGAGCAGGGCCTCCCCAGATGATCTTAAACACAGAGGTAGTTCATAGGAGATGGAGATCCGTTTGAACAGGTAAACTGGGACAGAACCATTTAGGGCTTTATAGGCTAAAGCCAGTACTTTGAATTGTGCAGTCAGTGGAGCTGACATAGGAGGGGGGTTGTGTTCTCCTTGTACGCCACTCTGGTGAGCAATCTGGCTACCGCCGATTAGACCATTTGAAGCTTTTGAACAGCCTTCAAAAGCAACCCCACATAGAGCACACTGAGGGAATCTATTTGGGATGTAACCAGAGTGTGGACTACCATGGCCAGGTCTGATTTCCCAAGGTATGGGTGCAACTGGCGCAAAAGTTTTAATTGTGCAAATATTCCCCCGGCCACTGCCGAGACCTGGGGTTCTAGGCTCAGCAATGAGTCCAGGAGAACCCGTCAAGCTGTGAACTTGCATTTTCAGGGGAGTGTAACCCTGTTCAACACAGGCTGTAACCTTATACCCTGTTCGGGCTTACAACTGACCAGGAATACCTCAGTCTTGTCTGGATTCAATTTCAATTTGTTCACCCTCATCCAGACCGTCCGGTTCGGGACCTGAACAGCCTCCTTAGTAGCAGGTGGAAAGGAGTGATAGAGTTGGACCTCATCTGTTTACAGATGACATTGAACTCCAAAGCTCGAAATGATCTTTCTCAACGGCTTCATGTAGATGTTAAGCAACATGACGGACAAATATTGAACCATGCAGGACCCCACAGGACAATGGCTGTGGTGCCGAGGTGGTGTGCCCCAACACCTTCTGGGAACAGCCCTCCAGGATGGATCAGAGCTACTGCAGAGCAATACCTCTAAGACCCATTCCTGCTAGGCATCCCAGAAGGATAGTCTATGGTATCAAAGGCTGATGAGAGGTCCAGCAGAACCAGTCAACAGGGACACACTCCCCCTGCCCAGATCCCTGCATAGATCATCCACTAAGGTGACCAAGGCTGTTTCAGTTCCATGACCCAGCCTAAAGCCAGACTGCGCCGATATAGATAATCAGTGTCTTCCAAGAACACCTGGAATTGCGAGGCCACCACGTTCCATGACTGCCCAAAAAGGGAAGATTGAACACAGGTCATACACATTGTTCAGTTGAGTAGGTTCTAGTGATGGTTTCTTCAACAGCAGTTTTATTACAGCTTCTTTGCTGGCTGGAATCTTGTTTTCCCGTAGGAAGTCATTAACCACCACCTTCACCTTCATAACTGGCTGATGATCCCTCTCCCCCACACATGAGCAGGAACTGTGGCACTGTTCATTTTTCTACCTGTTGCAACAGAGATTGCACGGGGGATGGGGTGGGGCTGTCAGTCTGTTGCTTCTCAATCAAAAGAATAGAGCTCCATTGATCATAGCAGATGATGCCTGGTAAGTGAGGATTGGGAAGGGATGCAGTGTAGGGCACCATAACAATGTTGTTAATGCATATGTAAATCCCCCAAAGGATTCTGGTCATCGATTTCAGTGGTAGTGTGGTATACTAAGACAACATCTCTCAAAGATTCAGTAAATGCCATTTGAAGACAAATAACACATAACTGAGGAGTTTTCAGGAGAGCTGGGATTCCCAAAGGAAGTGCAGGAGATAGGTGGAGGTGTCCCAGCTTTTCCTTCCCCAATAGACAAAAGGTGAGTGAGGTAAATGTATATAACGGTCAGCCTGAAACACTCCCATCTCCACAATGCTCCATATCTCCATGCTAAGGCAGCAATCTAACTTAATTCTCTATAAGAAACAGCTGTCATAGAATGGAACTATGGAACAATAACATTCTGAATGTTATGCTCACCCACTAACCAAGGTGGGTGAGCAACCAACCACTATCATTGGACTGCAATAGTAACTATTCTTCACTAATTTGTTGTGGTTGGTAAGTGTGAGATATGCAAAGCATCTAGCCAGGTCTTCACAGCCAGATGCTGATCAAAACATCTTCAGCTGAGATCTGCAGGGATCTCAGCAGAGTATACCATCAATTTGTGTGTGACCACATGCCTCTCAGATTACCTTTGCTCTCCACCAACAACAGAAATGCCACAAGGGTGTGTGTATTGCTGTAGCACTATGCTGGGGAGAACTGTGGGGAGTGACAGAGAACACCAACCTCTGCCAAGAACCAAAATGAGACATACACAGGCATAAGGTGGATTTATGTCTGTGTATGTCACTAACAGGGTATCAGCCTACAAGTGTGTAAATAAACCTCAGGACAACCAATCTCCAGCAACCCCTTCTAAAGCAACTGAACACTTCAAATGGTTCAGTGGTCAGAGGTTAGCTTAATAATATCCAAGCAGATAAACAAATGCACTTAAGTTTTTGGCACTGTGTAAAACAAAGCAAAAACAACCCCCAAAACTTCTATTCCAAAGGTATTTGAACATATCATGAAAAAGCAATTTTTATTATGTCATTTTGTCCACGATTTAGCATTGCTGTAAATGGCATACATTTACTGCAACTTCTGTACAGATGTGTGGCTTTGAATTTACTAGAACAGCAAAATTTAAAAGGAAAAAGAAAAAGCTCAACAGTTCCACATAAGATTTTACAGTCCAACATTTCACTGAGGAGGTGAAAAGACAGTTACTACAGACTTATTCGGCATGAATAGAAAACTACAACTTTTATTTTAAACAGGAGTCACTTGTTTTAATTTTTTTTACACTGTTTTGAAATTACTGTGATAAAAAGTAATGAAAAGGCTTTTTAATAATGCCATACACCAGCATAATATAGCATTTATCCCCATTATATATCTTTTGGAGAATATAACAAAATAGAATGTTGACACACTACTGAATCCGTGCTATTAAGCCTGCTGGGGTGGTGTGAGTAGGTGAGGGAAAGATGACTAGTTTTATACTTTTTCTCAAATCTGAAAACAAGACTTTAAAAGGGATCATTGAATGTTTTCCACTAACTAATATGATGCTTCTTTGTTGCCTGAAAGTATTGTTCTTATGAAACGGCGGTAGTGTAAAAAAATAATCTTAGTACATCCATAGTAGTAACATCCATAGTGATTTCAATATGGATCAGGCAGTGGATAAAGTTAGTTCTGAAAGAGGCTGAAGAATCTGGTCCCTTTCTACAAAGTACTTAATAAGCATACACTTTTAAAGTTAAAGTGGCTCAAACATCACAGCCTTGCCACTTATTCTCATAATTGCTTTAGTTAACTCCTTTACACTTGGAACAGACTCTCAAAGGCAATTATGAACTAACAGGTTGCTCACCCTAAGCGTGGTGGCTGTTAATCATCTGTGAATGCACACAAATTGATCTGATCTGCCTCTTCAAAGAGTAGCTATTCCGCCTCGGTATAGGTCAGACCTATTTCTACGTCACACAGACCACAGAGAAATATCACCCCATGTTTTACTCCACTTCCTCTCTCGCACATTTTCCTAAAGCACTGGATGCCTATTACACTGCAGTGCTTCATATCCTCTCAATTTGTGCGTATTTGTTTTTACAGTGAAGTGGCAAGAGGAAGGCATAAAGATGGAAACAGCAAGATCAAGAAAGCTCACACTGCTTTATCCCAAGAAAGCATTAACAAGCAGGAGGAATCAAATAACTATATTTTAGGCAGGTTTCAAGATTTCAGAGTGGAATGAAAGTAGACACTAAAGCAGTTCTGTAGAAGCTGAAACAATGAGGGACAACTAACAATGCCATGGTAGATTCCATAGAACACTGCCCATATGCAAGCAGGAGGAAATCTTTGGATTTACTTTCATCTGGCATGCGCATAGTAACAACCCATCTCCACACAGGATACATCTTCTGCAGAACCCTTTCATCTCCAACTCTTTTGGAGGATTTAAATAGATCTACAGGAATAAGGACCCATTATATAGGCCCACTATATCAAACCAATACTTGTTTTGGGGGTGGAGTGGGATGTTCCCTCGTAAAGACTGTCTTTTAACAAAACTAGAGTGGTGGGTGGATGGGTGTCTGTTGACCATGCAATATAATTAAAGTGGGTTTTTTTACAAGTGTGAAAAAGTTGGTTCTTCACCTAATCATAATTCACACTAACAACAATTTTCTGCGTGCTGAATAAGATGAAGTCTTGATAACCTGGCCAATGAACCTGGTGCTGCTAGGAATTTGCAAGCAGTTGTGCATGTATAAGATGTGTGCAAAGAGGGCTGTCCCAGTACACCTTTCTCCATTCCCTGTTACTCTGTTGTTCCCAATATACAGTTATGTTGTAAAGCTAAGAGGTTGCAGTCTAAAAGATGGGTTGGCAATTGTTTCTACACTTGTACACACTTTGTACTCCTCTGCTGTTTTCAAGATAATCTAATACTGGATTTTTTGGTTTACTCTGGCTGGCAAGACTGGCAAAGTAATGGTAAGCACATTTACTTGGAAATCAGTCCCACAGATCTGAATCTGGTTTACCTCAAAAATAGGTATGCTCAGGTTTATATCGTAAGGCTCTAATCCTTGATTTAGTGATACAGGAGCTGTAATTTTTTTCCTCTGCAAGTGCATGCCCTAACACATCCTGTGAACAACTATTTCTAACACTTGTCATGTGCCATTCTTGCATATGGCATGCATACAGTATCTGGGGCTATCCAAATCCCTTCCATGTCAGCATGCTATGGCAAGGCACTGAAGAGACAGAAGTCAGAATTTTCCCTGCTTTATTTGAAGTGCTGATTTCCCCCAGCATGAAAAAGACTAGCCAGACAAGAAACATATGTTTTGCTGAATGCTTATGTACTTTAGATGGCTTGTGTTTAAATCCTTAACAACATATTAAAGTTTTAAAACTTCTTTTCCAGAATCAGCGTTTACATTTTTAAAAGAAAAACTCCATAAACTGATCAAATACATAAAATCAAGAATAAGAGCCTCTTTCCCATCACTAAATACTTGTATGCATGTAGTCATAGTACTGATTTCTGTACATCCCACTTGTGTTGGTAAACAATCACACATACTTGTGTCAAAGCCCACACTACTAGCTTTGTTAAGCTTGGTATCAGGTGCTAAAATGCTTAATACATGTCACTTCCCAAGTGGAACTTTCCATATTTTCTCATGCGATATCTTTTCATGACCCTTTTTTGGGGGGAAACCAAATACTTGGGTCTGTTAGCATTAGCTAAAAACAGGCAGAATACACATTTTCATCCCAACAGTTTGCAAACTACTGTTAAAATACTTTCCGAAGCTTAGATAAACTGTTAAACATACATACTTGTAAGAGCTTATTCAAGAAGAAAGACAGGTTGCTTACCTGTTTCTGGGTGTTCTTTAAGTGGTCATCTATGCACTAACACAACTGTGTCCTATGCCTCCTAGAGCTCTAGTCAGGAAGCTGGCCCTCCTAAGGAAAAAGCTCATAGAAAGATACACAGAACACTCTGAGCAAGGAGGCCTGTCCACAGTAGTGCTGTAAATATGTGGAACAGGCACTTATTCTCCTCCTTCCCAGCAAGGTGGGAAGCAAGACACTTGCCTCTTCCCCCACAGAAATGTAGGAGGACCAACCCTTTGACTAGAGCTCTAAAACATTCCTACAATGCAGCACATAGATGCAGCACTTCATTGTGGGGCTGCACAGAAACCACAAACGCGAATGATTACTGTTATTAAAAGGTGTTATTTTATGCCCAAATACTGGCTATAGCAGCTGGGGGAGAGTTTCATTTATATGCCTAATTTTTTAAAAGAAAATTAAGAAAAGACAAAAAAAAAAAAAACAGGTAAAAATCCTGTTTTTTAAAACCAGGAACATTTTTGTAGAATAATTAGAAATGTATTTAGTAGACTGTGATCAAACTATGCTCTATTATTTACATATTGCTGGTACCGGTATGCATTTTATTGCCAATTTTGTTTTGCTGTTTTGCTGTGCTCTGTGAGGCTATATGTGAAAGTAATCCCAGGTAGTGTGAACATATGGGCAAATGTGTACATGCACACACTACTTCTATTTTCTGTTTTTAAGCTTTTTTGCAGTAGGGAGGAGGGGGGTCATCAAGTAAACCTGCACAGTTGCTGCAGGTTTAGCCCTGGAATGTGAGGGGATCAAGCACACAGACTGTGCTTACAGCGGTTAAACGGATTTAGGTTTCAGCCCCAGGAGCTCCCACCAAATGTGAGTAAGTGCCTCTAAAATTAAACAAAAAAGAAAGAAAAGGAAAACAACAACACCAACAACAGAAACAACAGAGTACCATTTTAGAAACTTTAGAACAATGCTGCTAGGATTAATACTTCCAGACAAACCACAATTTGTATGGGTTACCATTCAACACATTTGTGACCCCTAGAAAAAATATATCACGTCATGATAAAGCAATCTGTCATCTAAAAACCGTTCTTATGATACACTATACAAGCTATTTTACAATAATCTGATAAACTGCTTTAAAAGCTGTAGTAGCCCTTCCTTGTTTATTCAAACAACACTATCAAATTAAATACATTTCAAAGTACAATTAATCAAAATATAGTAGTAGCGTTATAATGTCTTTTCTTTGTTTACATTTGTTAGGTTATTAAACCCTGTAATTTTTGCCCCAGAAATATTTAGGCCACAAAGAACAACAAGTGCTTTCTCTTCCCCACCCCCATCCTTTAAAGTGACTTTATGTTTTAATTTTTCTGAAAATTCGTAAGTGCTCAGAGGATGGGCTATTACAGCTTACAAATTGTTTAAAATATAAATCAATGATAACAAGGAAAAATTCACAGGACATACATGGTTGTTTTATGGCACACTAGTAGTTTGATACAGAAGGGTTGGAGCTATACAAGGACAACTTTCTACTCTAAGCCACAAAATCAGTAGCGGAATCGTCATGTTCTCTAAGAAACAAGGTAGGTTTCATTTAGGTGGTAACAAAAGTGAAAATGGGTGTGTAGCCATACATAGGTCTGGGACCTTTATCTTCCAAAAGAGGTTTCTTCTTCTTGTAGTTTGGTCTATTTTCTATTCTGCATAAAGTTAAAAATCTTATTTGAAGTAAAATCTTTTATGAATCTTTATAAACATAATATATATTGGGCATAATTACAACTATTTTGTAAATCAATATTATTTATATATATGTATTTATATATAAAGTATGCATACGTGTACATACACACACATATATACATATGTTTGTTTGTGTGTGTATATATATATATATATATGTATGTAGTTCCTGACCATTAAAGTCAATAGAAATGTAGCTATCAACATAGAATGGAGACAGGGTTGTACACATTTGCCCCAGTCCAGAGAGTGATTTGTAAGCAGAAACTGGCTTCTTTCTGGTACTTGATCCATTTTATGGGAAGTACAAAAAGCTGCTGTTAGTCCTTGGGTTCAAGAGCCAGGGTATTTTTGCACTGGCATGCACCACTTAGCAGATGATGAGAACTATCTGCTTTAAGCCAGTCTAAGGATCCTCATCCCCTTCCTAACAGGTGGTCAGAACTGGCAGTACTGGTCACATCATGAGAGGAGGTAGGAGACTTCTCTGGAATTTGGCCATTGGCTGTAATCCAGCAGAATATTCTGAGAACCCCATAGAGGCAAATTTGCACTTTGAGGTGAAAAATATGAATTGGTTACTAATATAGTTCTCCTAACTGAAAAAGAGCAGATTTTCCACTTTGTAAGTAAGTGGATGGAGAACAGTTAGACATACCAATTTCTGTGCATCAGTTTTGTTCTGCACATTACAGCTATCTGGATTGTGGCACTGTATATATAATATACATCTGACACACAAAAAGTACACACTTATATGGCAATAAATGGAGTATGGAAAAATGTTAATTTTTCCATACAGAAGTAAACTTTTAAACAATTATGCATATTTTCCTGAAGGTTTCCTGATGGGCAGCCCAGATTGATCTTTTTAGCATCAATTCAGCCTACAATTCTTAGAATTATGGCTATTGCATTAAATGCAAATATGTAGGCTGCTTTTTTTTTAAAAAAAAATAATTATGTTCACACCCCTATTTAAGACAGAGCTAGTTTTTAATAGCTCACAGAACATGTTTGACCGATATCAAAGTAAGCAGTTCCAGTATTCAGGTTAGATTTGGAATACGATTCAATCCCTATTCCGCACTGAAGAAGGCTGAATTTATAGGCCAATTTTAGAAGAATTACTATGACTGCATCAGATTAGAAAAGCCGACCTATAGTCATATGAGTATACTTAAAAGATTAATATCTAGAGGTCATTAAGCTATGAGCTGCCCCACTTTTAAAAAACAGCTGTACAATAGGCATCCTGAAGTTTACAAAAATTATGTAAGAAAAAATGAGCAAGCTTCACTGTATATAAAGTTAAAGGAAATTGCTAAAACCAGACAGTAATAGCTATAAAAGGCACAACTTCCCTTTTCTGATATACAGTTGTAAACTTTCTTCATATTACATGCATAAATCAAAAAATGCTACTTTAACTATACAAAAAAATCTATACCAAAACAAAAACCTATTTTTTAAAAATCCAGCCAACTACAGAAATTCCTAGCAGAATGTTGACAATGAGGATTCTGAACTTGACACCACTGCTTTTGGTGTATCCTATACTGCCAATATGATGGTATATGTGGAGAAAAAAATCCCAAGCCATATTTCCTTTTCTTCTTCCTGTAATCATTCAGTTTGAGGCATCTGCTTCTGAAACCTAGGTCTTGGCCCTCTGTAAACCACATGTAGTGCATAATTACAAAACAAAAACAAGAACACCCAATATAATTGCAAGGACAAAATTAACAAGTCTTTTAGTTTATATATAAAAAAGAAGCTATAGTTTGACTTTTTCTTAAGGCAATCTATCTGTATTAAGGCAGTCATTTCTGATGAAACAAGAGTTTCTTGATATTCCCATTTGAATATTTTGGTAACTGATTGCTGATGATTTCTGCCAACATTTCTGGAAACTCGATGCTCATGGATTTATCCAAAAACGTTTGGAAGCAGAAGCTTAAAAGATTCTCAACCACCTGTAATTGATAAGAGAAAAGGCTGAAACCAGATTTCAAATGCACAAAACTGTAGTCAGAGCGTTGTGAACAAGGTGACATTTTCAATATTTCTGTGTTTATTGTAGTAGTAGAAATTAGGATCAACATAAATAAAATTGATAAAAGAATATTTTCTAAATTCAGATATTGGACCACATACACTAACTAGGATCTGAGTCCCAAATATACAATCAGTACTTTACAGTATTTTTCCCTCCTGCCTGGCATCTTCTCAGCACTCTCGATTTCTCTAGCTGTCTCATCATCCTAAACTCTAGTATCTGTTGATCCAGACATAATAATATACTACAATTAACATGAAAATGGTGGCTAGCCTATTCAATGTTTGTCTAAGTGGTGTCACCCCAGGGATAGCATGTACTTCAATACACTGGAGACTACATTTGGACCAACATGAACTTGTGCAACTTCTAGTACCTTTTCCCATGCTAAAGCATCACCTACCTTACAAAACACATCTGAGATGTGGAATAGATAGAAATTGCCTCTTTTTTGTTAGTGGAATGACACCACAACAAACAGTTTCAGAAAAAAAATCACAATTTTAAGTTTTCAACTTATTCACTACACTAAGCACTAACTGAATTCCTTTCCTCAGAGTCTGGACTGCAATGCTTCATTTCTAACAAACGGGGAAACATGCTGTGCACTGTCTATATTTTGATGTTTAAACAAGTAAACTACTGTATTTTCTGGCATACAAGACTACTTTTTAACCCAGGAAAACATTCTCAAAAGTTGGGGGTCGTCTTATACTAAGCCAGACTCGCAGTCGTCACATATGGTGAAGGGAGCTCAAAAACTGCCATGGCTGCTTCCCCGCCATATGTAGTAAACCATATGAAAGCAGCAAGGGTGGTGCAGTACAAGTATGGTAGAAGAAAATCCACCCACCAGGATTTGTGGAAAGAAGTGATTTAACATGGTCCCGAGGTGAGGGGGTGCCTCACCGGGAAGGTGTAAGTGAAGGGACGAGCAAGCTGCAGGCGTCTGGGACGTTCAGGGTATGGAAAAAAAGAGATAGAGCGGTGTTGTGCCCAGAAAAGCACACCTCTTTCACCCGTCTGGCCTGCCCTTGTAGCCTATTACCATACACCTCCCTTTTTTGCCTCTCATATCTCGCTCCTGAGGACTGGAGTGAAGTGGCAAATGTGCAAGATCTGTGAGGCAGAGAAGGAGGTATGGTAATAGGAAAAGTACCATACTGAAATAAAATCTGATGTTTTTTAAAAAAATTATTTGGTGTGCGTTGGAATAGAGGTAGTCTTATATGGCGAGTATATTCTAAAACTCTATATTTTAACTGGAAAAGTTAGGGTCATCTTATATGCCCAGTCATCTTATAAGACGGAAAATACGGCAATATACTGAATTCAGCATGTACTAATTTGGTTTTAGTACTACATTCTAAGCACTGGTCCTCTCTCAGCACCTGTTAACATACATTTTTTTCTCTCTAGAAATACATGGCTGTTATTTGGTGATCAAGATTCCAACAGAGCATATGCCACAACAATCCTCATAACAAACTAGAGGCTGAAAATGGTTGAAAATGGCCTATTTTTATGGTAAAGGATAGAATGGCTTGAATCTTGTGAAACATACACAAGTGTACCCTCACCTTATGCTTGTGTATGCATTTTTTTGATTGCTGCAAAGGTTGGTATTTTCCTCCACCCTCTAAATGATCGAAGCTCCCCCACTCCAAGATTCATGGTTCTGCCTCCCTGAGCAATCATTCTGTGACTGGTGAGGGCTACAAGGTATCAGAGAAGTGCCTGGCTATGCCCCAAGCCAAAACCAGACAGATGACATCTTCTGCTGATATCTTGGATGAAGATACTACCAGCCTCATGTCTGGATAGGGTGCATAACTATTCAGAGGAACTACCGCAGCAGAAGCACAAGTTCTAGTGAATGGACAACTGTGGCAGAATCCTACTGCAGAGCTCTTATGCTACAATGGGCAATATAGAATTTCAGTCAATATGTACACACCTTGACATTATTTTAAAAATCTTAAAATATGTAGTACCAATATAGAAAAAAAAAACTATATACAGCCCAATCCCAGAAAAGTCTATAGGGGGAAAATCTGACTGAGCCTGTGAAACTGCTGGAGTTGTTTATTAAACTTGAATTACTATCAAAATGTTATTTCTTACTCTTCTGCATCCTAACTTATACAGACTGAATACAAGCCATAAAGATCCCATCTTAGTGTTTTTATCCCCAAATAGTAATAGGCATAATGCTGCATAATTCTTTTTTCATCTTCAACGTAAGCCCAAAAATATGTCTTCATAATAAATTTGGTAATCTTATGTTTGCCTCTTCTGCACTTAAATTATGAATAATCAGTTTCAGGTTCATTTTTCTTCGATGGGGTTCTCCACTCTTCCAGATAAAAACACACCACAGAAAAACTTTAAGTTAAAATGGCAACAATGTTAATACCTAAATGGACTTGTCAATTGCTAAACCGTAGCCATCTTTGCAATCCTTTGTACAGCAGGAAATGTGTGGAAGCAATAAAGTTAAAAAACTTACATCATGCATGGAATCCAAGAGTTTTGTCAGTTGATAAAACCTCTGCCAGTTCTGGCTGGAGTTCCCTTCTCTCTTCACTATGGCTTTCCCCAACTCTTTGATGTAGGTCATACGAATTTCATCAAACAAGGCCTGACTCCTCAAGCCCTCCTTGGGAACTGAAATTAAAACTGAGTTTTCAGAATGGCCAAACCTTCATGAAATTAAACATTATCTTTTCACACTCATAGTAAGCAAGAAAAGAGATACTTTAAATTGTAGTTACTTAGAGGCAGTGTAAAAGATTTTGCATCAAGTAGACATTAAAGTTGATATCACTGAATCCATTCAAGTTACCATGATTTGTATTCAAAGATGCCTGAGAGCAAAAGAAAATGTCTAAAGCAATATAGAAATTTTGTGGTCTTATCCAGCCATATATAGATGTAATTTTCTCTGTGTTTCCAGAACAATATAGTTATTGATTCCAAGTTACATCACAAATTCAGGCGTATTAAAATTCTGGATTACTGTAATACACTCTACGTGGGACTGCCTTTGAAGAATGCTCTGAAACTTCAGCTGGAATGCCCTCCCTAGAGAGATCAGGCTAGCCCCCTTGCTTCAAGCCTTCCGTCCCAGTTTAAAAACATGGCTTTTTAAACAAGCCTTTGATCTTATGTAGGTTTTTAAGGATTAGTCCAATCCTAAACTGTTGGCGTCATGTCAGCACTGGGCTGTGTCCATTGGAAACAACTTCTTTTTTATCCACAGCTGGGACTGCATTTTATGAATTTTAATGTTTTACATTGTAATTATGTATATGTGTGATGGTAACTCTATGATTTCATCATTTTAGATTTATGTATTGTCTATATGTATTTTGTTAGCCGCCCCGAGTCCCTTCGGAGAGATGGTGGCAGGGTACAAGTAAATTATTATTATTATTATTATTATTATTATTATTATTATTATTATTATTACATGGGTGACAGCATACCCTTGTACAAACCTGTCCGGGCACTGAGATCTTCAGGAGAGGCGGTCCCACCTCCATCTCAAGCTCAGTTGACAGGAACGAGAAAGCGGGGCCTCTTTCTTGGTGGCTCCCCCTTGACTATGGAACTCCCTTCTTCCCAGGGAAGCCAGAATGGTCCCCTCCCTACTGTCCTTCCGGTGGTAAGCTACAGTAAAACCTATTTATTGAGGCAGGTTTCAGGGGGTGCTGTGATTTTTAGTTTTGAATATGTTCTTATGGATTTTAACTGAATTTTAATACCAATGATATTTAATCCTGTATTAATGTTTGTATATTTTAAATTGTATTGAAACACTTTTAATTTAAGCTGCTTTGAGTCTCCTTTTGGAGAAAGAAAGTAGGATGTAAATAAACATAAGCATAATAATAGTAAAAGGTGCATTCTAGTAAGAATGCAGCTCTCCTTTGTCTTAATTTTTATTTACATAGCTGGGGAAGTTGTGACTCTCCCTCACTGTTTAACTCTGACTCCCTTCAGTTACATAAGCAATGGTTAGGAATGATATAGTTCCATCAACATCTTAGGAGACAGGTGGGCATAGATTTCCCAATCATCGGCTTACAAAATAACTTTTTTGGCTGTAAGTCTGAAATTATAGGCTATGATAAAATATTTTCAAGGCTGAGCATTTCTGTGAAAGCAAACACCTTGTGAATAGGTTTTCGTTCTGCTGATATTATTAACTGTCAGAATTGAACAATATATGAAATTAAAAATAATTTTAGAATATTTTTGGCACCCCTTTGTATAGTATGTGGTGACTGTCTTTAAATACAAGATGTTATTATTCACATTGCCCATAGGAAACAGCCTATCACTAACTACGGTCATAACAAAAGTCTATGATTCTATTACCTTTTTTAGAACTGGAGCATGGCAAACTGTGTTTGAGTGAATTAAATTAGGCTTAATGCTACAAAATTAACAATTCAGTGATGAGGAAAACTACAGCTTCCATATTGCAAATCTGTATTCAACCAAAACAAAACAGAACACTAGAAAAAATATCACTTTCCACCTACTTGTAGAGAGAAGTAACAAGGTTTTCATGCAAAGATATTCTTCATATGAAACTTGAAGCCGGGCCAGCTCATTAGTGACCACCAGCAAACGTTTGCATTGTTCATACATACAAGGTAAATTCATTCTTTGCCTGAGGAAAGAGCAAACATAACAACATCAGGACTGGAGCAAAAATCTCAAAGTTCTCTCCATCTCTCCATGTGAGTGTGCTTGGCCTCACCACTTTGTTTTCCCAAGAACTCTGTATTTCACACATACTAATTGCTACTATTTTTTCATAGTTAATACAATGCTTTTTCAAGTGTACCTATGCAGTCTAATAATTTGGAGATGGCCAAATGAGCAATTAACTTAAATTGCTAAGAATTACATTAACTTATTCTAAAATTCTCTACTGGTCAAGAAAACAACCAAAGTTAAAACTTGTTCAACTACAAAAAAGGTGTTTATGCCTGTGGGTAGTGGACGGGGTATGGTGAGGGATCAGAGCTGGATTCAGACCAGGTGGAATCAAAATCCCCCTTTTTTCTTGAGAGGTTCCCAGAAAAGCCCTGTAATGGGAGTGAATATAGTAAATGTTTCTCTGACATTAAAAAAACGGGTACAGGTAGAGCATTCTTTATCCAAAACTTCAAAATACTTTAAAATCTCATGGATGGTGGAGACAGTGATACCTTTTCTGGTGCTTCAACTTTGTTTCATGTAAAAAATAATTGAAAATATTATGTAAAATATTCTATCAATCCAACGTAGGGGTTCTCAAAACCCTTTCAGCCACAGAGCCCTTTTTGAAGCCAAGGTTCCTCGTGCAGCCCCAAGAAATGTTTATATATTATGTAATATATAAATAATGTATGTATATAAGGCATTGGCAAACCTTTGGATACAGGGACGACATTGTGTTTTAAAATTTGACAGATGGGCTGGACTAGTGGCAGGTGGATGCAAAATGTTTGTGGGAACTAATTAAAAAATATGAACAAATTCCTATGCACACTGCACTTATCTCATTTGTAGTGCAAAAAGCAACAACAACAAAAAACCAATGCAATATTTAAAATTAAGAACAATTTTAACCAACATAAATGGGTACGATCCTGGAGGATTGTACCCAGTTGCTGAAGCTGGGGGACACCTCCTTGGATCCCTGACCATTGACCTGTGGGTCCCACAAGGTTCCATTCAATCCCCATGCTTTTCAACATGTACATGAAACTGCTGGGTAAGGTCATCAAAGGTTTTGGCGTTTGGTGTCATTTCTTTCTATGCAGATGACACTCGACTCTATTATTCTTTTCCACTCAATTTCAAGTTAGCCCCCTGGATCCTGGAGCATTCCATCAGCAGTGTGATGGACTGGGTGAAAGCTAACAAACTGAAGCTTAATCCAGACAAGACAGAGGGCCTTCTTGGTCAGTCAGGAGGCTGATTGGGACATAGGGTGGCCACCTGTGCCTGATGGGGTTACACTCCCCCTGAGGACACAGCTCTGCACCCTGGGGATCCTTCTGGATTCAGCACTGACGCTTGATCTTCAGGTGTTGGTGGTGGCCAGAAGGGCCTTCGAACAGTTAAAACTTGCACGTTAGCTGTGATCATACATTGAGAAGCCTGACTAGGCCACGGCAGTCCATGTTTTAGTTACATCCAGGTTGGATTACTGCAATGCACTCTATGTGGGGCTGCCTTTGAAGATGGCCCGGAAACTGCAATTGGTGCAAAGGTTGGCAGCCAGATTGCTAACTGGAGCTAATTATAGGGAGCAGACGACATCCCTATTAAAACAGCTCCACTGGTTGCCAATAAATTTCCAATCCCAAAGTGCAGGTCATCACCTACAAAGCCCTAAATGGTTTGGGCCCTGCCTATCTTCGTGATTGCACCCCCCTCCCCCCATGCTCTTGCACGAGTGTTACAATCTGCCAGGGATGCCCTCCTCGGAATCCCGGTTGCTGGGGACAAGGGAAAGGGCCTTCTTGGTGGTGGTCCCCTGGCTTTGGAACAGCCTATCTAGGGATATGAGGCAGGCCTCCACACTATCCTCCTTCTGGAAGAAATTGAAGACTTGGCTATTTGGACAAGCCTTTGAGAATGTCTAGCCTCAATGGTCCGCAATTAATGACACAGCACCGTATTGTTGTCCCATGCCTAGTTCACGAGCTACAACTTGCACTATACTATTCCCTTGTTCCTGTATACCGTCGGCCATGATTTATGAGAGTTCTTACCATAGGTTACTGGCTGTTGTATTGAGCTTAAATTATTGTTTTATATGCTATTGGTTTTATTTCTTATTGTATTGTGTGTTTATTTTATGCATTGTTTTAGGCACATTTTGCCATATGTAAGCTGCCCCGAGTCCTGAGGGAGATGGAGGCGGGGTACAAAAATAGTTACGATAAAAAATAAAGTTGTTATTATTATAATAATAAACTAAACAGTATTTCAGTGAAAGATCCCGAGAGCCTTCTGCCATGCAGTAAAAGCACAATCAAAGCACCCCTAACAGATGGCCATCCAAACTTTGTAATAAGGGTCTGGTAGGCAAGGGGACCACCTGGAAAGGGGTCTGGGAGGCGAGGGGGTGTCTGCAAAAGGGTCTGGGCGGTGAAAGGGATGCCTGGAAAGGGGTCTGAGAGGCGAGGGGAAACCTTGAAAAGGTCTGTACCCTAGGAGGACAATGCTGCCACCCTTAGAGCAGGAGGAGGAGGGAAGAGGAGGAGGGAAGAACAGTGCCCCTCAGTATGCCTTGCAGAGCCCCAGTGGCTCTGCGGAGCACAATTTAAGAACCGGTGATCTAAGGTGTACATACTGTAAAAAAATAATTTTGTGTTTAGATCTGAGACCCATCTCCAATATGGATATAAATGCAAATACAGGTATTTCAAAATAAAATTGTTTTAAAATATGAAATTCAAAACACTCTTCCCAAGCAATTTGATTTGGGCTAGAGAACCTGTATAGCCACCCACAACATGTTCTGCTCTGGCTAAGATGAACCAACAGGGTTTTGAAAGTGATGGTTCAGCAACATCCTCTGCCCAACCAAGGGCTGCTCTCCAGCTCTACTAATTAAGGGCTTTTAAGAAGGAATCTTTCAAACAAAATTAAAATATAGAAAACAATTTATATTTGACATTTTCCATGTGCTACTTGTGTTAAAGAGTACACCAACTGCTAACCCAGTGTCATGAAATTAGCATTATTATATTATTTGGATTCTGTGTTACAACAGCATACATACACAACAGTATTAGAGGTGTCAACACTGATTATGTGGTACACACTTTATAGAGGGCATCTGAAGGCATGAGCTTATTTAAGAGTGGCTGATGAGATATTTAATGCTCTTAACTTACTATTACAGAAGGATTCACAGATGTAAAAATGAGGTCAAGGTATCTAGACCAATAGGTAACAGCTGTCAATTAACACTACATAAAGTTATATTAGACATGAAGATATAAAAATAATACAAAACAATCATTGCTTGATACCCATAGTCAAAACTGGGAGCAAGCATTTGAAAATTATTTCAAAAACAAATAAAATCCACTATAGAAGAAACATCCGTTTTATATTGAGAGAAGCTGAACTTATGAAACAAGTGTATTTTCTGAGCATGAAGAGTACAATTCTCAGCCCTGTGAATATTTCTCTCAGATGATGATCAGAGAGCCTATTCAAATCTTAATACTCTGTATGCAAAAGCTACCAGGTTTGTGGCCGTGCTGCATATCCACCATGTGAACATATTCATCTTTGCCTTATACACATCTCAAACATATCCAGAAGATTCTGTCATAGATGACAACATAAAGGGCAAAACTAAGCTAATCAAGATGTTATATTCTATGTGATGGAATATTTACTAACACTTTACTGTTATAAAATAATAAGTACTCTGTGATCAACTGCTGTTCTAACATCAGTCAGCACATAAAATCTTTTTCAAAATAGTTGTATTCGTACTTCCACGAGAATATACAATTGCAATATTCTGAACAAGTGTCTTATTATGAGACAGCTCTTGTTCTTCACAAATTCATTTCACAGACTATTCTTTCTACTGTGAGCATGAACATCATGCAAAGCTAACCTATCAATCTCCTTTTTTTGCACATATGTTACCTTGCATTCTTTCTAATCACTTTATTCAAATTCAAACCACAGTAAAATATAACAAAAGTAAAGATGAAATAACTTTTACAGGACAATTCTTATATAACAACAACAATAATTGTATTTCTTATCTGCCTCTCCCTGTGGCTCGAGGCTGGATACAATATCGCTAAAAACATTGTCATCTAAAGTCTTCAATAAAATACATATATTCTTAGTACTTCAAATGCACACTTAATTGTAATGCAAATATTTTTTTTTAATTACCAATCTTCAGCAACACAGAGAAAAGTAATTGATTCTACTTACTCATTAATGATCAAATCTGGGGCAAAACAGAGCAGACTTCCATTGGATTGTTTATATGATCTCCATCCGAGAGCAAAAGCCATCAGAAACATCCATGAATACTGTAGAAGAGTCATTTGGTCATCCAAATGCAAGTTCCTGAACCCTAGTGGAAAATAAATATGTACACCCTAGTACATACATTATAATAATTAAACACTGTATAAAATACTGTTTTAAAATCTACAGTTCAGCATAGCTTTTTCCACAGGCTCAAACTATAACAACTTGAAACTGCAACAAAATGAAGTCAAGTGATTTTAGGCTATACATTTCAGATGAAAAGTGACAAGCCAATGGATGGGCTTAATGTTTTCTTTTCTGGTGAAAAGGACTTCCTTCTGAAAATACTTGAATGGGAGAACAGGCCACTAGCACTTCATTACTCATAACTGCGGTAACTGTTTTGTGTGCCTCTAATATTCACCCTATGACATAAATCACAGGCATAAATTTACTATAATAAAATTCTATAGAACAAAATGCATCAATACAGGACATAAACCACCCTGGATGCTACTATAAAGAAATTCTCATTGTGAAATGGACTGCTATCCTTCAAGCTTAGTTATAAAGACTCATTTCATATTTGCTCTTTCACAATATAAACACAGAAAAATAATCCAATAATCGCAGGAACATGTATTTACACTTTATTTCAGCTTTCCCAAACTCATAGAAACAGAGGAAACAACAGCTCTTTTGCTTCATTATAAATAACTAATAAAGGGAGTCATATTGTACAGAGTCCTCTACAACCTTTCCTACAAAGACAGAAGGCAAGTGCTACTGCATTTGTCAGGATTGGAAGAAAGGCATTTCTTTTCTAAACTGCTAACCAAGGGCATCTATACAGCTTTTAGTACAGGATATTTATATTTTGTCTAAAAACAAAGTCTATGGCAATTCTTCTTAAGCTCCCATTGTCACTGTTGGTAATACCAACAATTAGAGTTTGAAATGCAAGACAAAGAGATGGAAGATACTACAAGGACCATCTAGTCTAATGCTGCCATGCAGGAATAGCACAACTACAGCACTTCTGAAGGCTGGGTTGCTGTAAGTTTTTTGGGCTGTATGGCCATGTTCCAGCCCGAAAAACTTACAGCAACACAGTGATTCCAGCCATGAAAGCCTTTGACAACACATTTCTGAACAGAGGTTGCTGTCTGTGCAACCTCTGTTTAAAAATCTACAAAGATTAGGAGTTTTCCGAGGCAGCCGAATGAACAGTTCTTACAGGAAATAAGTTCTCTCTAATGTTTATACAGAGTTTCTTTTCTTGTAATTTGAATCTATTGGTTTGTGTTTTGGTATCTCAAGCGGCAGACTCCTGAATCTGGGGCTAAATGTCCTCAAGGTTTATCCTGATTTCAAAACTTCTATACAGCAAAGCATCTGTCTGGCCAAGCAGCCTATTATTCAATTGGTAATCTCCCAAAAAAAAAAAAAAAAAAAAAAAAAAGAATAATCAGCACAACAAACATGCCAGGAAGAGTGAGACGGTGTGTCAGAGGCAAAAGAGAGACAAAAAGGGAATCAGAGAAAAATAGGGAGAAGTTAAAAGAGAGAAATGGGAATGGATAGTAGCCTACATGAAGTCTCCAAGAGAATTTATCCATTGACCAAAAAAGGTTCCCTAGCCCTGATCTACATTCACACAATGAGTTATGTGCATCCACTTACCTGGTATTGCCTTTGCCCATTTCACTGCAGCTACAACTTGTCTTCCTCCTAGCATATTAAGAGTTGACATTATACGCCAAGTTGTGTCTGGTATTGTGCTGTCATAGCCTGAAAACATCACTTCTGGCTCAATCACTTCCAGTAGGGAAACCAAGGTAGGAGTAAGCTGTGGTAGTGAGGCAGGAACTATAGCCTTATTTCCAGGATTTTCAGCAGTCTCTCTCCCTGCTGTCATGGTAGACTGCTGAATTCCTTTTATTTTCTTCTTTGTCTTTCGTGCTAAAATGTATTCAGAAAAAGAAATCAAGAATGACAGAAAAACCCTAACCCTCTACAAATGCCACCCCCTTTCTTTCTTTATTTTGCACTAATGTGACCTGGCCAATCCTAATTTTTTAAAATAATCACAATATTTCATTGACCATGCATATAAAACCCAATTGAGTCAGCTGATTATTTGAAAAAAGAAGACACAAGTACAAATAATGGGATTAATAAAGAACCTCAATGAGCCAACATTTGGCAAGTCTGCTTTCAATAATGTTCTTCCATGGTGGTTAATCATTACAAGAGAAGAAACAGAATAACTTAATTACCAAAATAGCACACATACTACAGAATTGTGCATACGTGCACATGCATTTCTAGACATGAACCACCAAAGCCAGGAAAACTTTGTTTCTTGTACTACTGGGCCAAAGATGATTTTTTTCCCCCTTGGCAACTGCTTGCTGTTGTAATTAAACCATGGAATACATATGGCAGAGGAGCTGCTTAAAATGTCACTTAACTAAAAAACTGTTTTATTACTATTTTCACCGTAACTATGCTACCTGCATACCTTTCCACTTTTCTGAATCACATCATAAAAATGGCCTTTCAATATTTTAAAAGGAAAAGTCAAACTGAAAACGCTCACTCTTCCATATGAAATGGTGCTGCAAATTGTTGAAAATGACAACTTTCATCAAGCCTTCTCCAGCGATCTGTGTGTACGATCTTGTTGCTTACTGTTTCCTATATGTATGTTCTAGGGTGTAGCTTCCTTTACTCTATGGTTTCTGAGTATTTATAAAAAGGGCTGTAGACCACATTCTCTCTTCTCTCTCCTTTTGACAATGTGACTGGTTGACAGCTGTTTTGTTACAAGAGAGATGCCCTGGTCAGTTGGCACAGGGAATCATCTCAAGGATATTTGTAGCTGGACTAATAAATGTTTGTACCTATGTATGATGATCACATAAAAGTTGTGAGTAAACCAAAAATGTTATTTCCACCGTAGTCTACTTCATTTTTGTCTCTTGAGTGCATGATAGGAAACAAATTTGTTTTATGGGAGAGCATGTTTTCTGGGCACTGAAAAAAAAAACCACTTCTAAAGCTCTGCTGTATTATGCATTGGCAAATCTCTGTTTTCCTGACAAATCAGAGATTGCTGGTTATTCAATCTAACAACTGAAACTGTTGCCTAGCATAATTATATTTGGTTGCATACTACAAGAGATTCTGCTCCTAACAGGATTTTTGGCTCTTCTCAAAAATGTTATGTTCACTAATACAAATAGGACTGTAAACATTGAAGCAGTATCCATACAATGCTCTGAATTGAACCCTCACATTCACTTGTTAAGCTCTGTACAAGCAATATACATATGCAAAAGGAAAATGCCTGGATTTTTCCTATAAAGGCTTATTTAACAAGGTTAAATACAATAGAATGTGCTTGGGACAAATTCGGAAATATGTTACTTGTAACTGTTAAGACTGTCCTCAGGCAGCACTGAAGTACCCTGGCAGTGATAGGAAAACTTGCTTATAAAAAGTTAAAACATTTATCAAATTTAAAATGTGGGCAAAATCTGTAGTAAAATTACTTGTACTTTATATTACTTGTTCTGTAGAATTACTGTATAGTAACTCTGAAGGAGCAAAACATGTCATATTATAAAAACCTTAAAAATGTTTAGCATTTCCTAAGCACTTTAAAACTGCTATTTCTATTATAGTGTTTGACTGGCGGATGAGAGGGGAATGTGACAATCTGAAGAAAATTCCTTAGTGTTAGCATAATAGTTAACACAAAACATATGGCTCATTCACAGTATTTTGCAACACCACAAGCAGCCAAGCATTTCAATTGTTTACCCAATCCAGGCCTGTTTGGCTAAAACATTAACTGCAAAACTTCAGCTCATTCTGCCTCTAAATAGACATTTTAGCTAAAGAAATTCTACTGTAAAACACATGAGCTTTAATCATCAAAGAACCTTTAAGTTTTCAGGGGGGCGACAGCTATTAAATATTCACAACACTGTTGAAGAATCTCCACTGTAGAGGAAAATCTCTACTGGAGAAATTGAGAAAATGGTAATCCATGCAAGTATTGAAAAAATAGTTTTGATTACTGTAGACAGAAATCACCTGTAATTATGTAATTAATGTAACAAATAGCAACACAAAAGTTTGCCTGAATTGGCACGCTGAAATAATTTTACAGTATTTGATGGCCAAACTAAACTATAAGAAAGGAATATGAAATATATGCTAATTTGTCTATATCTGTTTTGGGATCTTTGCATGCATGGCATACAGCAGCTGTTTCTATACATTTTTCAAGGTGTTAACTGTTCTCCTGGGGATTGGCTTTCTTCGTTGTCCAATAATGTCAACTTTCTTGCCATCTCATAAAACACAATAATTATGGCAGGGACAAAGCAGGGAACAGTGGTGGCCCTTTCTTATAGCACACAGGCAGTGTGATACAACCTGAGAGTCACTGCTCATGCTTGCAGTGGGACTGGCTAAACATATATCAGTAATAAATACCTGTTGAGAATAAATTAACACACTACTGACATTTCCACAAACCCCATTCAGTTTACTTCAATGAAGACAGTCTGCGATTAACTTAGGGGAGTGAGCTGACATCAATGCCCCTCTCCCAACATTGTCAAGCTCTTGTGACCTCTAAAGTCCACGCAGAGATATCTATGTGCCACATGGATTCATGTCTACATACATAAGCCTCCTTAGGAGTTAAAATCAGGATCTAGCAACATAGACCTTTGTCTCTTTTTTAAAAATGAAAAAAAAAAAAGGTTTGTCTAGGTTTTAGGAATAAAATAATAAAATCTTACCTTCTAGATTCATGCCAGCTTGAAGACATTTCCGGTACCGGCAAGCAGGGCAATTCTTTCTCCGAATTTTGTCAATAATACAATCATTTCTTCCAGCACAGAGGTAATTGTGCTGCCCTGTATTTAGAAATGATAAATCCAAATCCAGAGGTTGTATATAGTGTGTAGGGATACAACTTTTAAAAAGTTAGTAACAGTGTCTCTGATTCCTTATAATTAATTTCAAGCTTGCTACTTCATTAACAAAAGTATACTGTATATTTTTACTCTGTTACACAAATAACTGTGCATATCATGGCAGCCTTAGACATTTAATGAAAACAAAAGAATTAAATGCCAGTTACGAGTAGCACATATTTTATCAAAATCAGAAGGGTTTAGGGTATTAGAATAGGTACAAATCTTACTACTCTACTATTTGGCCAGAAGGAAAAATTGGTCTATTTGAGAATACAGAAAACAACAAAAATGAGTGCAAAGGCAGAAGTAGAAAATTCCATATTCAAGCATACATGTGATGAGGGTGTGGGGACGAGATGTAAGGAAATAGAAAGTAGAAGGGACTGTATCAGATAGCTATGCAACATATAACAGACAAGATCAAGAACATTCCTATTTGAGATCCAGAAAGATCGGAAAAAGGACAATAAGGAGAGGTTCTAAACATCTGCAACAGAATGACTTTTACTTTAAAAAACTGCCACCCCACTGTTTTTCCTCACTCTAAAAATAAAGGTGCTGTGTGTCTTTGAAAGTGTACAGAATTCCTTTCTTTCAGATATTTACAAGTCACTGCAATCTGCAACCTCTTTCAAATTCAAAACTAAGATCTGGGTTGACAAGTTGACTACATCTCAACCACACCGATAGGGCACAAAGCTTTAAAGACTGGGCACTGATCTTCCCATTTTTATTTCAAAATTGTGTGGCCATTTTTTCACATACCCCTTCACATTTGCATTTTCATGCATAGGTAAGGGACACATGAGGTGTCTCTGATTACATGCACAAACTACAAGCTTCTTTTCAATATCATAGTTAACCCACAGTGTTTCCATTTCACACAAAACTTTATTCTGGTATTTGTACCACATCAATTTAGAAATCAACCCCCCCCCCCCCCCCCCCCCCCGATCTTAAAATAGTAATAATCTACCAACAAATGGAACCAAACAATCAGCAGGTAAGTACATGAAATACATTGTAAGGATAAAGAATGAAGCCTGAGGTTTGAATGAATTGAATGGGAAGACTATTGTTAGTAAAGGGGAATAAAAGAGATTATGTGGGGAAAGAACTCTGCACATGGATTGACAAAAGGGTTCAAGTAGCATCTAGAAAGTGAAAAGGGGACTCCTGAAATGACACCACTCAGCAAATGCACATCTTGTATTCCCAGAAAGGAAAGGAAAAAGCTTTGCTAATACTAATGGATTTATTCAAGTCTCCTAAAAATTCATTCTGGATTTTCTGACAGCCCACATTAAATAGTGTAATGTAATCAACTCTCAATCCCTGACTCAAGTCATCTTGACTCAAGTCATCATTCCTACTTGCCAAGATGCAGCCCAATGGTTTTGTTGGAGTAGGGCCATACAATTCTATGAATAACTCCTTAGATGGTGAAAGAGAAGGGACTTTTCTTAAGAAGGGTATTCATTATTTAATTCCTACAAATTTCTGTTTCACTTTGTCAGTGTGGAAAATCAGAGTGGAGCTACAAAAACAGGGTATTGAGGACATGTACCAACTGCTCATATTTCTACAATATACATCTACACATATGGCCTTAAAATACCTTTTAAAGTCTAACTTAATGACTGTAACTGAAAAAAATTACCTTGGAAAAATTAAGATTTTTATCGAACTTTTTCCTGGAAAAGAATGATGTATTTACTGCATTTACTGAAGTTACAAGGAGTTTGTTGCACTAGAGGAAACTGCCAGCAAAACAAGTTTGAGAAATCTAGTTTTGAAACAGTACTTTAGGATATTGATTCTACCACTTTAAAAGAACAGGAAGGAAACTGGTTTTTGCAGCCTGTGAAGTGGGCAAACTAAATCCTTTGGAATTTTTATGGAACCAAAGATTCAAGTATAAGCAAACCTTGGCGGCAAAGTAAATTCAACTACAAGTATTAAAGAGCAGATTCTTTCCATGTTGAATTATATAGCCATGTTAAGCATGAGGAACAATGAAAGCAATTAGATCTGACAGATCTGTTTTTAACCATAGATTCATCAATTTTGACAGATTTTTGACCAAAGAGACAGATCTTTGAACCTTGCATTGTGCCTATGAAATGTGCCATGAAGATAGAGACTATCTATAGCTGAGACAGAAGAGAAAACTCTACTACATGTGAAAGTAAGCTCTTACTCTTGAGCTCTGAGATGGAAAGGGAATATAGACTTGCTTTGATTCTATAATTGGCTAGATGGTTGGAATACCTGACAGGCAGGTAGGCAGACTGGCAAACCTATCAGCTCTTTATGTACCTGCATTATCACTTACCCTAAGGATGTTGTTTTTTTTTTATTATTTTCCTATAACTGCCCCCACCTTCCGGTTCCTTCCTTCCTTCAACTGGACAAATCAGACATTTACAGCATCGAGAAAGAAGAAAAGGATCCAGGATTCACATAGAGAGTGAAGTGTCATGTAGGGCCTGGTCTTCCTCTTTCTCCATGCTGTGAGTGTCTGTTTCGACCAAAGAAAGGGAGATACTGAAGGAAATAAGATCATGCAAAACACCTGCCTCCAGAAAAACACCCCACATGGCTACCACATCTGGGACAGTGAGATCCCTACCTTCCCATACTTTCTGAGGACATGGTTGCTGTGTGAATGTTCATTCAACCACCCCAATCTTGGGAGACAGCAATACAAATGTGTAAATAATTAAAAACTTGAGTGTGGAACCCACAAAGATGGAGGAGTGACTATATTAACAGGACATTGCTTTTTAAATGGTAGTTTAATGAAAAGAATAAGGTATTATAACCCATCAGTTTCAATTCAATGAGGTGAGTCATAATATCAATCTTTTTCTTATGTATGGATACCAGATAAACCCACTTACTGGAACTTGGTTGGAGCAATTATCATTAAAAAAAACAGCAGATGACCAATTATCTCACACAAGAAGTGACTTGCAGTTTCTCAAGTGACTCCTGACACAAATTAAAAAAAAAAAAAAACAGCAGAGGAAGGAAGTCAAGTTTAATGATTGATGTAAACACTCTACCATTTGAGATAAACAACATACATTTTAAATTAAATTACCGCTCAGGTCCAGGTTATCTGGATGACCACATGGGCTTTTTAGTATCAACGATATTTAGTTCTATTTTAATGTATGTATATGTGCAGATTTTAAATTATATTGAATGCTTTTAATGTAAGCCACTGAGTCTCCTTTATGAAAAGAAAAAACTGGGTATAAATAAACATTATTATTATTGTTATTGTTATTATTATGATATCACCTTACCTTCTACAGCTCTTTTGAAGAATACTTTGCAGCTGCCACAAGTAAGGACACCATAATGACACCCAGAAGCCTCATCTGAGCAAACAAGGCAAAGCTTGGGAGGTGGTCCCGTAGTTGCTGAAGAGGTAGAGGGTGAAGAACTTACATCAGATCTTATTCCAGGGCTAAGAAAAAACAAGAGCATATGATACATATCAAAACACAAGGAAACATAAGTAAAAAAACAAAACAAAGCACCTTGCTACTTTATTACAACAGCATTTGCTCTATTAACAAATCTAGAACTTAAGAAAGCAATTTGAGATTTGGAAATGCTCATTATATCCAATGTATGCTCAAGTTCCATTGTATATAAGAGCACAATAAAATGGAGTCCTTTATTTTAAAAAATGGCAAAATCAAGCTTTGCTTTTTGGAAAATATTTATAACAAATATTTTCAAGCCATGCATGGTTGAATCTGTGAATATGGAGGACTGATTGTATACTAAAATGGATGTGTTAAAGCAAAGCATTTTTATTTCAGCAAATGTGTTAGGATGGCGGCTGGAATATAGTTTTTCCAAGTATTAGCTTGAAGACAGTAATACCAACATATTGTTTAAGTACTTCAGTTTACATATATATCACTATCTGAGCTGATTGGTGGAAATCAGAATCTGATTTAATTACTACTACCAATTGAAATTTAACATTTAAGTTATACAAGAAAAATAGATAAAACATTTTGATATCTTCTTAGGAGAACTGAAGTCTTAAAATATAAACTGTGAACTGCAAAACATGCAATCTTGATTTGAAGGATAAGCTCAAAGCAGTTTGCTGGTCTGACAGAAATGACAAACTATGGTTACAACAAGGATTTGTAGTTGTAATTTGGCAGGGAAGACACGAGATAGATAGCTTGTTAGTTAGAATGTTATAGAAAATTATGTTGTGTTGCAAAACACTAAGTAATAAAGTGGACTACATCCAGAGAAAGGAAGTGAGTACAAAACAAAAGTATTATTTAGCATTACATGTGAACTGATCCACTCAAAACTACTACATCTTTGCCTATTGCATATGATACTGTGTACTGAAGTGCACAGAATGCCCTTGTTCTTTTTCAGCTGAAACAGAAATGTTCCCTACATGAAATTCTGGTTTTCTGTCTCTCTGTGTAATGGTCATGGATTTCTGGTTAGGTTTCAGTCAGTAGGAAAACCGTACAAAAGAAGCAGTTCTGTGCTTGGCAGCTGTGATGATCTGGATGAGGGAAACAAACTGAAGTTGAATCCGGACAAGACGGAGGTACTTCTGGTCAGTTGAAAGGCTGAACAGGGTATAGGGTTACAGCTTGTGCTAGATGGGGTTGCAATCCACCTGAAGTGACAGGTTCGCAGCTTGGGAGTTGTCCTGGATTCCTCGCTGAGCCTGGAACCCCAGGTCTTGCCAGTGGCCAGGAAAGCTTTTGCACAATTAAAACTTCTCCAATTGTGTCCCTACCTTGGGAAGTCAGACCTCATTATAGTAGTCCACATTCTTGAATAGACTACTGCAATGCTCTCTACATGGGGCTGTCTTTGAAAATTGCCCGGAAGCTTCAAGTAGCCCAATGGGTGGCAGCCAAGTAGCTCACTAGAACGGCGTACAGGGAACATACAACAACCCCCGTTACGTCAGCTCCACTGGCTGTCAGTCTGCTACCCAGCACAATTCAAAGTGTTGGCTTTAGCCTATAAAACCCGAAATGGCTCTAGCCCAGCTTACCTGTCTGAATGTCTCTCCCTCTATGAGCTAGTTCGAGCATTAAGATCTGATGGGCAGGCCCTGCTCTTAGTCCCACCCACTTGACAGGTGCGATTGGTGGGGATGAAAGACAGGGCCTTCTAAGTGGTGGCCCGTTGGCTATGGAACTTCCTCCCCAGTGACATCAGATCAGCCTCCCCCCTCCTGTTTTTTTGGAAAAAAGTGAAATCCTGGATGTGGAAACAGTCGTTTGGCAAGTAGTAAAACTAAAGGGCAACAGACTCTCTTGAAACAGACATAAGAAGCAACCTGGATGATGATTTCAGGATTGGTGTTTTAATCTGTATTTTATATGTTTACTTGATTATAATGCTTAATTGTGTTATATATTGTTTGATTTGTTTGTATAATCATGTATAATTGTGGCACTGAGTGTTTGCCAAAATTGGAAGCTGCTCTGAGTACCCCTCGGGGTGAAATAGAGTGGGTTAGAAATAAAATAAATTAATCTTAACTCAAGCAATCAGAACTCTCAAGCAAAAAAGCAACACACACACACACACACACACACACATATATATACTTTTAATTTCAAAACCTTGTTTTTATAATACAGCAAAAGAGAAAAACCTGTGTTACTTTAAGTTAGATTTGTCTTGTCTTAATTTGATTTTAATTATTGTATTTAAATATTAACATCATGTCAAGACAGAGTCTACTGTAGTTATATCAGAAGCAGAGTTGGAAATGCAATCAATTGATATCACCAGGCACCATATATAGAAGAGTCTCACCAAGTCCTGCACTGGCATCTTATCAGACACATGGGCATTTTGGGATAATTGAAACATATTGAAATTCAGTATATCATTTGTTTATGGTTCTTAAATGTCATTTGAACTTAACTTGTGATGTTGCATACAATAGTCAATTATAATTGTTCTACAGAATCCAGAAAGGGGTACAACACAAACTAATTTTCTTCAAAAAGTAAGAAAACTTCTGCATCTGCTGGGATTTAGATATCTCCCCTTTTGTGAGTGATGCAGTTACCTATATATTTTCAACCTGCCATTTTGAAACACCAATAAAGTATTTATTCTGGAGCTTCAAAAATAATGGGAAGCTAAAACTGTCCCAAATGCCAATGTTTGGAATTAGAAGAAACGTTTTAACCTTCCTTTGACCACATAGATAATAAGCAGTAATAGTTATGCTAAAATTATCCAGTTATAAACTGCTCAATCCCTTACAACAGTATGTAAGTTACTATCCTTACCCATAAATTTGAAGATGCCCCAATGTTACTGGTGACCACCCAATGTAAACAGAGGTATATTTACATTTTAATAATTCTTTCATCATTCCAGCACCGATGCTTGGAGTAATAATAATGAACATGGTATAATGGTACAAGTAAGTAGGTTCTCTCAGGGGTGGCATGTCTACATAACTGCCAAATGAAACAGTCTGATTGCAGATAATTGTCATGTTATCAGTGCTGAGAAGAATGTGGGCGATCCAAGCCCGAATAATACCTTTGCCATGTACACTACCCTTAATTAATTTTGTATTATGGTATTTAAGTTAGAATGGGCTAACATCTGCCCTTTTTCGGTGTAACTGTAACTGTCTGGATTACTTTTACATAACTAAGAGCCGGGCTTCACTGCCTAGATGAAGGTGTCTATAAATGAGTTGAAGGATTGATACAATTTGATTTTAATGTTTGAACATTTTTAAAGTACAAAAGAATACTAAACATGCCATCAAATTGCCAACAAAAAAAAAATACAAAAAGCCCTGGGAACATAATTTTTAGTGAAGTTGGAGAATGGTAGCATTAACTATCACAGAAATAATGCTTTAAATACACCTACAATTTGTATTTAGAGTTCTATAGGGGATATTACTATATTTGCTTCACTTATAAACATGGGACCTACAAGAAAGTGTCATATATTCCCTCACTGATAAATATGAATAATATGAAGATTGTCATCATTTTAACAGTTTCTTAGTGATTTCTTCCTCAGTACTTCAACTGTCCTTTCATTCTTTTAGTTTTAGCTTTCATGGATGCCATGTTCTTTGGAAGCTTGTTTAGACCAAGTGAATGGCCTTTCAGGTTTCCTCCTCATGAACAGAAGTTTACTTTTTGAATAATAAGCATTATGTGGCGGGGGGAGATTTCAAAGGTGCTTAAGTGGGGCATGGCAAAAAAAAAAAAGTTGGGAACCACTGCACTACACCATAATGGTCTATATTTTGGTTTACTGTTTAAAACAATAAATTCTCTTAAAATGTTGAGGGGTGTGTGTGTGTGACACTTTATAGGACTGATGGGCTGGCCAAAATCTGATATATAGTTACTGCCAGCTATGAAAAAATAAATATTCAATTTCAAAATATTGGATATGCTTCCAAATATTTAATTGTTTCTGAAAAATCCAACAGTGTGTTTGTAACAGAAAATTAACCCTTTAACACATCACTGCTGGCTGATATCTAAGATACATGTGGAATTAAAAAAATTAATTTCCCCCTGAATTTCATTTTCAAAAAACTAACCCCCTCTTTAAACAACAGGACCAAAGTCCTCTTCAAATTTTTAGCTAACTATTTTATAACCGACATCAGTCCAATGTTTAAAACAGATCTAATCCCATGAACGCTGGCCTGTATAATTTATTACGCCAAATCCATTACAAGTCATATTCAAAGAAGCTGAATATAGAAACAAGATGATATGGAAAGATATTGAAAGTTGTATGAGCTAAGGACAGAGGAAGCTCACACACTACCAGGCTGTGTGATGGTAGTTGCATATTGTAAAAGAGATCAATCAAATCCATGGACAAGTCACCAGCTATTTGCCATAATTGCTGAATGCAACTTTCATATTTGGACGTAATAGTAATCAGTAGTCATGGGCCTAGTAAGTGTCAGCCCTTTAATCTGTGTTTTCGTACCGTTTGTTTAATTCAGATGGCATGAAATGGTACACCTCCCGGTATGAAAATATCAGTGAAATGAATGGATAGTGGGAACGGTAACCATTTGGGTCACCTGATATTCGGTGCTCAGCTGCATTTGGAAAATTGCTCGTTTTTGGGAGAGGTGCTCAAACACGAAAATGGGGCTTTACGAATGAAATAAACAAATGAATAGTGATTCTATACAAATGCATAAGACTAGTAATCTGAGCACAGGGAAAGAAATATGGAAATACACAAGTCACATGGAAAAAGAAGTAGTGAGATTGTCGGAGGTACAACATTTTAAAATGAAGCTCAACATGTTCTGAACTGAGATCTTCCTGATGACTAACAGTATAAAATTATAAATTGAGACATATTTTACAGGTAAAATATCCTTTATTCTAAATATTTAGGAAGAGGGGTCTGGATTTTTTTTCCAGATTTTGGTATCCA